TTGACTTTATGAACAAAGTTTCCATTTTGGTAGTGAAATTAATGTCTCTATAATTCACGTTTTCTCGTGAGTATTGGCGAAACGTCCTTTGCTCTTGAGTTGTATGTAAGATATGCTTAAATCTGAGTTTGTTTGTTGAATTCCTCAGATGTTTGACCTTTCAACCACTCACCAAACTCTGACCACTTTGTAAACACCTCGCAACTTTTAGGCTCTGGGTAAATGCGTCTTTATTTTCTCTTGTAAACCTAATTCTGACCTTAAGCTTGTTGTCTTCCTGCATTGCTGGAAAAAGAACTATTGTCCCACATCACTCAGTGGATTGGTTGGACGATGCGAAGTCATGATAAAGCTACGTCAGGTGGTAGACAACATTATTGCTTTCTTCTTAAATCAAAGGATAATTCGGGGTATCATCGCTCATCTTTAGGACATTGTAACTGCTCGGATCCGTCGTTTCCCATTCAACCTGTGCTAATGATGGAAATAACTTTAGGAATCACAAATTTGTGAAGTGTACGGTGAAAATGCCAACTTGGTGGAGTAATCAAAGTAGCGGCAGAGGAGGTTCAAGGGGGCGTTTTGACCCTAAGTTTATCTGCGATATATTATGCTGGCCGTTTGAGGTCAGGCTCTCCTTGCGCATAGCCATTGGCTACTGGAGTGGTCATCTTTTGGTAATTGTTTCAGCGCTTCGCAGGCGTGTCGTACTTGAGACGACTTCATTGGCATTGTTGATTTATACGTCACTTAATGGCGTTTGGTTTGGATAATGATACAAGTGGAGCTAAAGGTTACTGCAGCTTCACGGACTTCATTTCAAAGCATCTTCAATCGTTACTATTTGTTGATTTTGCAGTTCTAGCGTGGGGCTGAGCGGCACGATGTCCTCAGTCTTCTATGTAGAGGTTGGAGACGCAGATCTGGATCCCAACGCAGGAGGCGGTAATCCTGAAGAGGGTGAGTTTATCGAGGTGGTCTACTGGCCGGTGGAACGTGCAGACGATTTGTTGTTCCTCACTGAGACCGGCACACCGGTTTCGGCTACTGTTGTGCTCGCGGTCCTTTGGTTCCAGCGTCATATTCTCCCCTCCCTCTGCCTTTCGTCGAAGAGCTGATGAAACAACAGCTTTTCATGCTTCCCTCTTGCTCTGCTCTACTCATTTGATTGGTGGGCTTTTACACGATTTGGAATAGAATAAACAATCAAGTCTTTCATTCAACTGAGTTCTGGTTCCAGTGAATTTTAGGTTTTGGCTTCTTTGTGAGTTTTTCTTGGTGCTGCTACCGTAATCTTTTAGGATCGTTGCCAACAATTGAGATGACAACTTCATTTGGTGTCAAGCGAATGGTTGTAAGTTGTGTTTTTGTTAATAGATTCATTCTGATGGGGTGTGTCCGATTTAAGTAAAATACAACAGCTTCTAGAATGAAAGCGTCAAGTGACGAGTCTGATGTTGATCAGACTGAGGAAACCTAGACCAGCTTTTTACGAAAGTTGTACTAGCTTCTGTCTACAGAAAGTGATGGGAGTAGGAGGGCGGGTGAGATGGTGTATCACTAATGAATGATGCAAGACAACTTAGATGCAGATGTTTTTCACAATCGCTGAAGCTGTGATCTCAGTGGTAAACGGTGTTTAAATTTCGCAATATCATTATATTGACTTCGAGCATCAATTCAGATGGGAGTTTCAACTATGCACCTGTATACTGGTCGTAAAATTGTGCGGACGTTGTAGCAAGTTAGTGTTCAAT